CGGCCAGAACGATGGCACTTCTTCTCCGTGGGGGGTGCAGTCAGAGTGTTGCTCTCCTGCCCCCAGATCCACCTTGAGCCAAGGCTGTGGGGTGGCAGACTCTAGAGGTCATCCTGCTCCCTCATGAGGCTCCTGGCTCTTGCCAGACCTGCAAGTGAGGCTACGACAAAAACAGGCCATCTCAGGCACATCCTGCTTGATTCAATTGCCGCTTGTGCTCCCTGCCCCCCAGTTTTACCCGATTTCTTTCCCTACGCCGCTGAACGTTATGGAAAGGCTTTCATTTTGCTATCTACAAATCAGGTAGCCAGCGGCTTGGGGTAACACACGTGCAACCCCCAGAGCTTTGGGGCCTTCCTTTACCGTGCTGCTGCTTGACAGGCATGGCGTGACTTCTGAATTCTACCTGGCATGTGAGTCAACATCAAACTGAGCAGATCTAAGATGAAAGTGCCTGAAACCCAGCTGAGCACAATTAGGTATGGAAAACGTGGCGCTCCTTCCGCGGGGAGCTGAATCTGCAAGAATGATTCTTTTGAGGGCAAAGTGCTCTCCTTTTGAGGGCCAGGCTCATCCGTTTTCAATATCTGAGTGAGTCATGACTACCTAGCTGCGCCCTATTTTCCCGTTTGGAGGGAATGAGGAGCACCCTCCTAATTATGGCCTCAGGGATCACCTCTTGTTGTGCGTCAGACCCCACAAAAGATAGCCCTGGGTTTGGACCTCGATCCCCAAGGACCTGGCCCAGGGATGCCACTCCTAGGGCGGAGGGCTCGTTTTAGCTTGCCATTGGGGAGTTCAGCGTCAGAGCAGCGTGATGTTTCCCATGACAGAAGTTCTGGTGCTTGGGAGAGAAGCGGTGTGCAGGGGGGAGCTACGGAAACCCTGCAGCTCTGCAGCCAGCGCTGAGGAGGCTCTGAGGAAGGGGAGACTCCCCACCAAGTACATGGAGGATCCTAACTCATCACTGGAAAGGGGAGGAATGGAAAGCTGGAAGGGTTTCCTTTGCACTGTGCCCTCCGAGTAGAGGTTTCCAGATGTGTATTTCAACCTCTCTCCGTCTCCGCCATCTCCATCTCTCTATCCGGCCAGCCGGCTGAGGGTTCTGGGGGAGGTGGGCCCCACTTACGTCTTAGAAGTGCCAGATGGGACCACTGGACTAGACCAATCTGAGCTCCTTGGATCTCTCCAGTCACTTTTGGGACGCGCTTTGCCATTCTGATCAAAAAGCTCAGCCAAAGATGGCGTGCAGGGAGAAGGCTGCGGGGCAAGAAAACGCCTCTGTGCGATCCAGCGCTTTTGCAGCATAACCAAGCCAAGGACGTGCTTATGGGAGAGAGGAACAAAGACACGTTTTTTGGAAAGTTCCTGCATATTCGGTCGCTCCCGGATTTGGTTAATTCGTTTGGCTCTGTAATTAGTCTGCTTGGCTTTCAAAAGGAGACTAGCTCATCCATTGTTTGGAGGGGAGAGTATGCAGAAAGCAGTGAAACAGTAATAAAAGTTTCCTCCAAGGGGAATTCGAGGTAGAGTGCCATCTGCCTCCTTATGAGCAGTCAAAGGAAATTACTACCGTCTCCCAGATCTGCAGAATTCTCATAAACACATAAATTTCATGGCAAGGTTGGACCTATCAGGTGTGGCTGGTGGGACACCCTTTTTTTTAAAGCCGGGAAATGGGCTACCAGGAAGGAGGGTCTGTTGAACAAAAGAACTTCCCTGGCTTACAAAGGGGGCCAAGATATCCAAGAGAGACTATAGAATTCAGACCCTCTCAAGCCCTTTGAGAGATCAGCTCTGTTTCCTTGCAACCACCACTATCGTTTTTCTTCCAATTCCAAATAATTCCACCCTGCAAGCTTTTTTCAACGGATAAATCAGCAAGTATTGGTTAATTGGAAGGGGCTGATCTGGGCATATCTGAAGCCAGCTGAGCTGCAAGTGAAGGCCCTCAGCTGTGATTTTACCCTGGTAGCTCTCAACAGTAATCGTGGCGTTAGTGGTAAGAGTAGGACTTCTTCAGGAGGATCCCCAAGTGATCAAGGGGGGGGGCAGACCAATGCAGGCTGCAGATGCAAGGCCACCCATGGAGGCCAGGGAGAGCTGCTTGTCCTGCAGCACAAGCTTTGGGGCTCAAGCTTTCAAGGGGTTGGTCTCCAGTGGCTGGTCCTCAACTATCGGGGAAGCTGGAACTGCAGCCCGGGGGGTGTCCTTCACCTGCTGATTCGTACCGGAAGGAGCGGGGGAACTGGTGGCCAGCCAGATGATGCTGAACATCAGCTCCCAGCGGCCATGGCGAGGAATGCTCCTTGGACCGCCAGTACTCCCGCTGCTCTGTAAGAAGTGGGTGTTGCCGTTGCAGGAGATTAACGCTCGGGGCTCTGATTGCTGGGGTCTGGCTTTGGATTCACTTGCCCCGCCTTCGGTCTTGCACTTTTTCCTTATAAAATGACAAGAGGTTTTTGACCACCGCACAGCAGCTTCCTTCGATTTCCTCCCACAGTGCTGTCCCCCTCCCTGCAACGTATCTTGTCTGGCCTCTGTTTGCGTTCCTGCAGCATGTTCACAGGACGCCCCTTCCCTGGTCAGCCACAGCCAAGCGCTGAGCCCTGCAGACACCTCTGCTTCGGGAAACGAAAAAGGGCTAATTTCAGGCCAGGTTGGCTAAGAGTGTTGTGTGAATGATCCCTTGCCCCCACCTCCACCCCCGTTGCCTAATTTCTGGTACTTTCCCATCTCAGCTTTGGGAACTTGGCTGTAATTGATCTGTCCCTTTCTAAGAAGCCCCCGGTTTGCTCTGGTGCAATTGTCTGACCTTTTGGTCCTTCGGGGAGATGAGCTCCCCAACGCGCCTTTCTTCCCCTTTTATTATTTTGAGGGTAACATTTGGAATTTTGCAGAGTTTCTGTTCTGTGAACCGTAAAGAAGTTTCCAGAACAGAAAACCCTGAAGGCGAGTGCCAGTTAAAGCTTAATGCACACCTGCTTGACGAGGGAAAAAAGAAAAGCTCATTTATTTTGGGGGTGAACTGCTCTTACATTACGTTCCAGTGAAATGTCTTGTTTCATGAGCTTCATGTGCAAAAGCCAGAACCATTCGATTTTCAGGTTTACAGCAGCAAGTCCAATAAAATCACCTCAGTGACGGCAGCTTATTAATGGGTGTATTAATGGATTTCAAGCGTTTGGCTATGTCCTTCCTTTCTGCTGAGAACAGCATTTCTTGCCCCCTTCTGCAGCCGCTCCGTTTTTCTTTAATCCCTGTTTTCGTCTGCCAGCTGCCACCGGACGCCTGGGGTGCTAACCTGAGCCTTGGAGGGCGCTGTGTGGGGCAGGGGACCGGGCTGGCTGGAGCTTCCTCTGTGTCCGGCAGCTGTGCCTTTGCTCAAGACAAGCGATAGCGTGTGGCGACACTGCTTCAGGATGGGGCTCCAGGCTTTAGGCTGCTCTGGGGAGGAGTGGACCACGAGTCATTACTGATGGCCGGGGCTAAGTGGATCTCCAGAAGCAGGATTTGCCAGAGGTGAGCCATAGACAGTGGGAAGGCGCTGTTCCACCCCGCTGCTCTGCTGAATCCTTGGAGGAACTGCCTTCCCCCCTCAGTCTGATCCCACAAGGTGAATAGATTCCTTTTCCAGTTGGCCGGTCCTCGCTCTGGTGTGTGATCCTGCCCCTGGGTGCCCCTGGGATTTTGGGCCAGAGCAACCAAAATTCCCACCAGTGGCAAACGCCCACCAGACTGGGGAAGGCAGTGATACGACGTAAGCAGATAAATAGGTATTGGAAAGGGGACCCCTTCCCTTTCAAGAACAGAGACCTTGTTGAGAATTACTTGCAGGTAAGTACGGGGAAGACGGCAGCTCAATTACCTTAAAAGAGGTGGAAACGCTTGCTGTGGGTCGGAGAGCTTCTGATCTCCCGTGCAGCCTCGCTAGGCGGGTTTGCAAATGGCCTCAGTCTTCTCTTCTCAGTGCAAGGCCTAATTGCACCGTCCTGCCTTGGAGGCCTCTTGGGTTAATAGCAACTCTGAAGATGTTTCTTAATTCCCTCTCCTCGCTAGGGATCTGTCACCTCACCGCAGCGAACTCCTCTCTTTGATCGCTGCCTGCCCGACTGCCCGCGCGATCTGTTCTTGGCCATTGGTGGTGACTGGGAAGCGTTGCTGCTTAGCAAGGCCGGGTGGCTTATCTAGGGTTTAGGTTTAGAGAAGATTAATCTTCCACCGTGGAAGCAGCTCTCACCTGTTTTAAAGCCCCACATTGTTGGGGGAGATTCCAAAGACGTTGGCCCCTCACTGCAGGGGCGCAGTTGCCAAATGTGCTGGGGCTTCTCTTCCCACCCATGAAGTTTGCGGAGATGAAAGCACGTTAGGTGAGTTGTAGTGAAAGGCCTTCTCAGGTGATGAATGCAGAAGGTCACCCAGAAGATCAGGTGTTTGTCAGAAGTGACACAGTGACGTTGGCAGATCAGATTCTGCAGGCAGAGTTTTTACTGCCACAAATACAGTTATGAATAACGGAGGGGCTGGCTTCACACAGGTTTTTTTATTTCTCTACATATGTAATTATGCTTGATGACTAACTGCTCGGATGCGCTTCCTTCTTTCTTGAGATGCTACAGAAATCCTGTTTTTTGGGGGTTGATCCGACCGTGCACGTGCACATGGGAACTGCCCATTCAGACAGACAGGCTAGACGGGGCATCTGTAACTGTTGCAAGGCAGTTTCGCCCACCAGCAGTCCTAAGCGGGAAGTCATACTCTTGAGTAGAGGTGGACTGCTGAGCCAATGGGTACGGGTGGCTCACGGGAGTGAGCCAGGCCACAGAGTGCAGAGAAGTGTGTGGGAAGAAGAAGCTTGCAGGGCCGCAAGCCGATAGGCCCTCAAAGGAAAGTTCTTCCCTTGCTGACTTTAACACTGGAAGGAGCAGAGCGACTGTGATGAAACCCCACTTCTTCTCCAGTCTAACACGAAGCCACCTTTCTTTTCTTGCCCTTTGCAGGATGAGATGTCTACATTTTTCCAGTTTGGGGCATCCGTCCAACAGGAAGCCATCGTCATGCTGAAGTTCATGCAATACTACGACTGGCACATATTCTCTGTGGTGACCAGCACTTTCCCCGGCTACCGGGACTTTATTAGCTTCATCAAGTACACGGTGGAAAACAGCTTTGTGGGCTGGGACATGCAAAATGTCGTCACCCTTGACACGTCCCTCGGGGATGCCAAGGCCACCATTCAGCTGAAGAAGATCCACTCTTCGGTCATCCTGCTCTATTGCTCTAAGGAGGAAGCCATTTACATTCTGGATGAAGCGCGGTCCTTGGGCTTGACGGGATACGACTTTTTCTGGATTGTCCCCAGCTTGGTCAGTGGGAGCAGGGAAATCGCCCCAGACACGTTTCCTTCCGGGCTGATTTCGGTGGCCTATGACGGATGGGACTACAGCTTGGACGCTCGGATCCGAGACGGCCTTGGGATTATTACCACAGCTGCTGCCGCCATGCTGGAAAAGTATTCCTTCATCCCCGAAGCGAAGACCAGTTGCTACGGGCAGGTGGAGTACAGCGAACGCCCGTCTCACACGCTTCACAAGTAAGCCTTCTTTTGTTCCTTAAAGCCGAGGGAAATAAGACCGGGAAGGAGCAGCCTTTGAGACGCTGAGCAGTGCTTGTCCGTGTCAGCTAGGAACATGCTTCATCCATCTTGCGTGTGGCAGGGAAGCGTCTGTAGAAAGCCGAGGCCTTAGGCAGTCGCATCCGGTGGCCTTGTGGGTCAGACCGGCTCGATATTGGCCGCGGCAGGGAGGAAGGGAACGAACCCAATGAGACCAGTTAATTTAGCCAGGAAGCCTCCTGACGGATCTTGTGGACTGTTGGCAGCTGGTCCAAGAGAACTGGGATAGCTGCGGGCAGCCCCTTCTACCCAGGGACTTTGAGCTCGTCAAATGCTGGCCAGCAGAGTAAGAATTCAGGCTGCTTGACTCATCTGCATGTTGCTGAAAAGCCAGATTTCCTTCCTGGGGCCTTCAGCCAGGAGGAGATGACCCTGTAGCTGGTGATGTCACTGGATACAGGACGGGTGGCCACACTTCAGTAAATTGCATTGAACTGACCTTTGCCGTCTGTCCAAGTCAGCACATGCTGTCTTTCTGGGGGCGGGGCGCACGCTCTTCCCCACTGGCCTTGGCCAGTAGCCGTGCGCTAAGCCATCTACAGATTCCAAACTGTCTTTACCAGCAGCTCCAGGCCAAAAGCATGACATTAAGCAACGCTAGCAGATACCAGAGCACAGAGCTCTTTGGCCAGGCTGTCTCGGTGGGGCAAGGAAAAGTGACCTTGAAAGTCAGCTGGCTTCAAGGAGAGGAGGGCTGAGATCTGGGGAGGGTCATATTAATATTCAGAAATCATCCCACGGGAGTCCTGGAGATGTAGCCTCCAACCTTGGCTGCTGTAACCTGAATACAAATAAGTATGTTTGAAAAAGGGGTCTTGCCACCAGAACTGCTGTGGGGCCAATTTTATGTTTATGTGTATACTTCCTTTTCTAATGGTCAGTGACTTTTCTTTTATTGGTGTTGGGGATCTCCTTCGTTGCTGCAGATGAAACCCTGAAGTAGCCCATGCAGAAGGGAAAGTCTCTCCACAGTTATGAAATAAACATTGATGAATAATTGTTTGATGCACTGCTGTGTTCATGGCATATGTGCTAATGTAGTTAGCAGATACCTATCCTCCTAAATCCCTTTCCCCTTTCCCCAGGGGGCACCTCTCAGTGGCCTCTCTCCTTCATCTCTGCAGAGGGCCAGATATCGATCATCCTCTTTTCAAATGTTGTCCCCTTTTGGCAACACACATCATGAATATGGATACGACCACCCACGTGTACTTGCACTCATCGCTTTGCAGCCAGAAGGGCTAGAAAGTTACCTTAATCATAAATGAAAGCTGAATCTTGCATCCTGCGCACCGGTTCCCATCTTCCATGAAAGCCCAGATTGAACCAAACCGTGGTCTCCAGGCTCCCTGGGATTCGTTTCTGTTGTCACAGCCGCCTCCTTCTGCTCTAATGGGGGAGGGAGCTAAATCACTGGCTGGGCTCCCAACCGATTCCTGATACTGATCTGACACCCAGGCCACAGCCCTGCACCACCTGGGCGCTCCCTGAGGCCCTTCTCCGGACCCGGTGAGCAGCCATGGAGGAAGAGAGCCGCTCACGGGGAGCTGTCCTTGGTGCTGCAAGTAGCTGCTGAGTGTCTCGATGCAGTGGGGCAGAAGCTGTGGTTTCCCCTTTGGTAGCCACTGCCTAACCCAGGAATGACGCCCCTTGGCCACACTGCTTTGCCCTGCCCCTCAGAGTCACGGGGTTGCCTCGCCTTGTCCCCCCAACTTCACTTTTGGAGTGTGGAGGCCTGCAGGCAGAAAAATGATGCTTATAGACTTGGGTGCCTGTAGACGTCCCTAGAAGCTTGAATTCCAGTTAAGAGGGCCTTTTTCAGGTTCTGAGAAGCCTGGGGGCAACATGTTCCTCTGAGCCCCCCCCCATTCTCTTCTTGTCACTGTCAGTGCAGTATTTTTTCTCATTGCTCTTTGGGTCCGTTGAAGCCGTAGCCTTGTAAGAGAGAGATGCTGAAGTACGTGCTTGTCAGTCCTATCATGCTCCCTCTGTTACCAACCTGCGCGGCCCTTTGCACACAAAACTCCTCCTTTTTTACAGAGTGCTATCTCGTTTGCCTTACCAAGCACCGTCAGATAAATCCCTGCAATTTAAAAGTGGAGGAAGGCGGGGAGCACAGAAGCAACAGCCAACATGGGTGCGGATTGACTTCTCTTCTCTGCTCTCACTTGGCTACAGGGTTAAGGAGCAAGGTTCTGATACCTAAATGATCTGGTAACTTCCAAAGATGTCATGGAAAGGCAGTTTGGAAGGGGAGGAATTTGTGAATGAAGGGCAGAAAAATGGAAGAGGAAGAGCCTTTTAGGGAGTATGAGAGATTTTGATGGTGGAAGGTGGTTGAGCCTTCTGGTGTAGAGCATTGGGATGTGAGGGCAATAAGAGGTGTGTGAGGAGGGACCAAAGACAAAGCTTAATTTGTTTTATTTTGTTTAAAAAAGGGGGTTCTCTTGAGTTGAGCTCAGTTCTCAGCAACCATAGGGAAATAGTTTGCCACTGACTTCTAGGTTTTTCCAACTTCCTAGTCTAACCTATAGCCGTGGGATTTTCTGTTGTCCCCCATCCAGCTACTAAATAGGTCCAATGCTGATTAGCTAGCTGAAATCAGCCATGGATTGATGGGGAGAAAAAGGGGAGGGGGGTACAGATTGAGTATTATTAAATACTCAGTGATTAAATTATTCTGGAAGTACCAGGACATATCTGGAGATGGGAGCATGTGTTGGCTTTCTGTTTGAAAGATAAACATGAGGGGAAGAGGGAAGGAGTGTGATGATCATACTCTTGTAAGATCCTATTTCCTACTCTCTGAGATTTAAAGCTGGAATTAGGGACCTCACCTACCCTATTATTTAGTATTGAAGAATGCTCCTTTCTCATTACACTTGGCCTATATGTACCCTGTGTTAATTTACTCTGACGTTACTGGCGTTCCACTGACTGAAAAGCCAAGAAGGGGATGCCGACAAGGCTGTATATCAATAGCGGACCAAATTTATAGTATCAGTTGAAGTCAGCCGTGATGGCCTAGGGCTCTGCGGCCATCCCAACGGAGCACTCCCTGGAGAAGGGCAAGTTGTAGCCCATTCCCTGATTAGAACATTTGAGCCTCCAGCAGAGAGAGCAGGCTTAGAGGGCTGGAAGGACTGAAACAAAATTAGGGAGAAATCTGGGAGAAATGTAGACCAGAGAGGTGGTGAATAAGGAGAGGGAGTGGGGCATTTTGGTTGGCCTTCCCTCCCGTTCACTTTGGTGCTCAGCGTGAATCCCTCCCCTCCGTTTGGGGAGGGGGAGAGATTAATGGGCGTTGGCTGTAGCTTCATCGCCTTCCTCGCCATGAACTTGCTTGGTGAAAATGTGTCTTTTGCTGCCTGTTAGACACGAGAGCTGTAGATAGTTTCCAGAAGGAGGGACAGCCTTCCCTTGAGTGGGCAGGGATAAAAACCTGAGAGGGGGATTCCTCGTGCACTTCCAAAGGTATCTGATTGCCCGTTATGAGAAAGCAGTTGGGTATCTGTGTAGCGATCCTGGGAAGCGATCAGACAGTTCCAGTTAGATTTTGGCTAAGCTGAGCTCTGGGCCTGGTGTGTTTTCTTGAGCTGCAGGGCCCGAAACGGGAGTGATTCCAGCCTTTCGGAGAGGGTTACTAGTTAATGGAGATCTCCAATTAGGCTTAAAAGAAAACAGCAGCAGCCAGAGGACATCCATCAAAACGCTTGCAGGCATTGCCAGCTTAACGGGGAGAGGGCCCTTCTCCCAGCCTGCGGGGCTTTGGGCCTCCAGAGCAAGAGCGGTTTTAGCGCTTTGCAGCAAGGTGGTGGGTTGTGTGTGTGTGTGTGTGTGTGTTTTTGCACCATGAGGAGGGGGAGCACTTGGACCAGAACAGGCAGGGCCGGTCGAAGGCGTCCTGCGTGAACGGCTGAATTTGGAGAATTTTCCCTTCAGGTGTTTGTGTTCTGCTTTACTGATATATCATTAATGCAACTGGAAGAGGTTTACATAATTCCTCTTCCTGTGCGTTGCTGAATCGAGAACGGGGTGGAATCCCACCGGGCGTGGATGCTCTCCCCACTCCGCTGTTAGACCCATTGCTTCGTTAGTGCTGTTTTGTCTGTTCTACCCAGCAAGTACTCAGGAGGTAACAAAATGGTTAAAAGTTAAAAGCATGAATTAAAACGATTATTAAAGCAAAGTAAGGGTTAAACGCCTGGTGGAAGAGATGTGCCTTTACTGAGAGAGTGGGGAAGGAGCTGGCAACCCCTGTGGGGTGTGTGTGTGTGTTTGTGTGTGCCGCATCCTGGGAGCAAAGCAGCAGAGGCCCTCTTGCACGTGTGAGACAGATGTAAGATCCAGTGCAGACCTTTCATGGCGGGAATTGAGTGATCCACCGGCTTTGGGCTGGTTGGCCACCTAGTCTGCTGCATTCTGCATCAGTTGCAGCTTCCGGGGCATCCCTAGGTTGAGCGTGTTGCAGTAATCAAGACGGGACTGCGCAGTCCAAGTATGCTAGTTTATCGCCTACTTATCTTGATCCATCCTTCCTTTCCCCATTGCCACCCTCCGGCATGTTTCAGGAGGGTGGTGAGCAGTGGAATTCCTCCGACCCAGTGTTTAAAATCTCAAATATTATGCCCCTCCAGTATAAGGACATAGTTATCACGTAGTGTTTCTGCTTTGCTTCCTCATTGCCGTTGCGATATTTGAGAGTGTGATCATTGTGATTGTGCCCTCTGCCCCAGAGTATACCGTGCATGTGGCCGTGCACTGTAATGACCTGTTCACGGCCCTGCCTGTGCGGTGCTGTCAGGCTGCTGATCCCAAAGATGATGCTCAGCTGAAATGGCCTCATTTCTGCATTATTCCTGCGCTTACTTGATCCCCTTTCTCCGAACTCCAAGGCTATTCTGGAGCTCCAGGGCATTTGCAAACCAGGCTGGAGCCCCTGAACTGGGCTGGGCAGACGCAGGTTGTACCCCCTGCTTAAGAGGGAGGGAGGGGCCAACCCAGACCACTGCAGGAAGGGCTCCTGGACAGCTTCCAACCCACAAACTGCCGTGGGTTTGGAGAGGAGGGGAGCCCCTCCCTCCCCGCTCTTGCCAGTCCCGTCTCCACAATATTTTCATAGCTGGCCACAAGGTGTCCCCCTTGCTTTGCCCAACTGCAGTTGAAACAACCCCCCCCTTTTAATAATTGCATTAAGGATTTATGAGTAAGGATGGCATTTTTTTAAATGCCCCCGTCCACCTATCTGATGTCCCTCTCCAGGACAGGCTGAACGTGTTCGTGTTCGTGTGGCAAACTCTGCAGCAGCGTCCTCCCTCATCTCTCTCCCGCTCTGCCCCCCCCCCCGGGGAGCAACCCCCCGCCCCCGGGGGGGGGGGC